CCAGTTCGTAGAAAAGTTTTATGAACGACTGAGCTTTCGGATGCCACTTTCACATCCCCTTAACACCGATTTTAATGTTTTGTCGTTTCCTGAAATTGGTCGGTAAGAAGCTAATGGTGATTACTTTTGTAGGGTCAAATGTTCGTCATGTATTTTGAGCCGACCTCCCGAAATGAGATGAAACTGCATTATTTGTAAATATACAAAACAAACGTCATTTTCAAATTCCTTAGAAATGATAGAGAACTCATAGATTTGGGTATGCTACAAAGAGAACGCCGGAAGTGAGCGGCACGTTTGCATAAGTATCGTTTTATTAATATCTCTTCTCAGTATTTACAAAACTTTATAATAATCTCTAATTCTTCACCGTCACACGCTACTTACTATCGATCATATACTTTATCATTATATTAATATTAATAATATCCATTCTCTCTAACGTTGTGTATACATAACACCGCTTCAAACCTTAGAAATTCGTTGGTACGACAAGAACAACGCAGTCCATCCATGAATGGATGAATATGTACACCTTATACCTGTGATTAACGTTATCACAGCGCGAACACGAGGCGTTCGTCGAGTCCCATTTTAGGAACCCGTGATTACACTTACGAGATAAGCGCAAGGTAAGATAAATAGACAAATATTAGCTGTTCCCAATAAACGTGTAAATTTCGCGTAATTCCGTTCAGTATCCGCCTATTATGTCACATAGGAAAAGATATTCAATTAAGCCGACGAAATCTATCGAGGTTAATTCGAACGAGCTTCATACGCTCATGTAACTTCGTAGCAAACGAGCCATAATTAATTGAAATAAAGTCTAACGAATTTCCATTCCCTCAATGAACTGAAATTCAAATCGACTAATCGTTATCAACTAACAATCCGTGACGGTACCATTTAATTGCTTTAAATACAGTCGATAGAGATAAGCAAAATTCTGTTACATTTAATGTGAGCAGACTGAATTCGCTTAAATTCGATCAGATTTAGTTGACCCATCCGTGATATGTTTTACGTTGTTAAATGAGTTAAGAAGGGTATTGATCGGACATTTGGCCGTACAACGCACGGTTTACTCGCTTATTAACGAACATGTAATATTCTTTACTTACGCGGCCTTGTACTTATCGAGTAAAGAGATTATCGGAGCTCCTCTCGGGGAAACCGGCCCCGATCGTTTCCCCGTTTCTTCCCTCCGTGACTCGCGAACGCCCTCGGTACAGTGTCCTTCCTCTTCCTAAGTATTCCTTAATCCTTTTTCGAAGGGGAGAAAAATCTAATGCGACTCCTGCGACCGGACGATATACATATCTATATACACATGTAGACCGTTCATTGTCTCGCTACTTCAATGCAGGTGTGCCGCTAATTATTATGCACAATGTTCGCATTGCGGCCGTTTCGTATTTCACGCTCGGCGAAATCGATCGCTCTCTCTCCCTCTCTCTCTCTCTCCCTTTCTCTCTCTTTCTCTCTGCCTCGCAAGGCCTCGTAATTGAATGCGCCCCATTCAACCACTGTTTCAATTCGTTCCCCGACAAGAGCCGCCCTGGGACCGATGAAATTCCGCCAGGCGAGCCTGCGGAATATTCGCGGAAAATCCACGGGGCTCGATTTCGCGGTCGACGTTGTCAGCGGAATGCCGATTGTCGCCAAGAGAGAGCATACGGGACAAAAAATTGAGACTCGCGAGATTTGACCGTGGCGAGACGACGTGCACCTCTAGACATCCTCCGAATGTCCATCCTCGAAGTCGAGCGATAATAGTCTTATCGAGAATTTAGACTTTCTTCTGATTTCAAAACCGCCGTAGAAAAAGCCTCACGGTGTAGTCAACGTCCATTTCGAGCGAATTCGAAGGCAATTCTTGTATCGAAAATGAGTCATTCAGCTCGGATAATACACGTAATCATTCACCAAGTACATACCAATGGACTGTCTACCCATAATTGACAGACCTGGTTATTGACGGTTGTGGACCAACCATTGTCCCTGGCAAAATGCAATTATCGCTTATCAGGACTGCTGTCGAGCAGCGTACCTTCTGTTTCGCGCTATTTATTCATTTTTGACAGAACTTATGACAATGTATTTAATTAAATTATTTAATATATGCTCTGTCCAATTTACTCCGAATGGACGTTAAGACGTTTTTCGTTTGGTACGAGACAAGTACAGCGTTATATTATCACCACAATCGAGAACAAACTTCCGAAAGTCGATTCATCGTCCATTTTGTCATTTTACCTATCGTCGGCTCAAGGTCGTCTTTATGTCTACCAAACTGCTAACTCCTAGGTACAGACAGAATCGGTTATTTACAGTTTCCCTATGACTTTCATATGCGTTTATCCCGAATCGTGCGGTGCGCTCGTTTCGCGTATTATGCATTAACGCTGGCGAAGAATACGATTCAATTGTATTGAACTCAGAAGAGGCCACCTCGATAGCGAGACTTTTTACGGAAAAAATGAGGGCAACGTTCACCCTGGGGAAACCCGATGTTGTTATTAATTGTGTAGAACGAATTAGAACAAGAATTTGGTCTAATGCCGCTTTTACCCTTTATCTTTCCGTGCTCGGATTCGGTTCAAACGCAAATATGTAATTTACATGAAGAACGTCGAGTGGTTATTAAAACACTGAGTCAATGTTGAAGAAGAATCAACGTATCGTTCCCTCGTTTTTCGCAATGCAGTTGGCCCTCCTTCCGTGCATCGGTTTGCGGGGTCAAATGTCAAATTTATCCATTTTAAGGGCTCGTTCGACTAGCAATTAACGCACCGAATTTCCTAACCCGTGTACATTATTCGTCCTTTGCGTCAGAAGGAATTACTTATAAAGCAAAGCATCGGTGTGGCTGTAAATCCATAGGTTTGTTCGTTTTGCCTACACTTTCTACACTTTTACGAAAAGTGTACACTTTGGCGTTCGTTTTGACGGAAGTGACGCAGCCGTCGCTGTTCGTTTTGCGATTGCATCTACACCGAGTGTACACTTTCTCTACACTTTCTACCCTCGATCCCGAGCGAGTGCAAGAAGCGTAGCCCGCGAATTTGGCGGCAAATTTCAAAATTGAAAAGACCAACGGACAGGAAAATACAAAATTTATGCTAACGTCTCAACGTAATATAAATAGAAATAATTATTAATGCATCTTCTTCATGTATAGAACGATTTAGCGTTTTAGTTTTGTACATAATGTTTGAAACAATTTACAATAATTATGTATTACAACCTAACCGCGGTTGGAATGAACTAAACTATAATTTTTCACCGCAGTAGTTAAATTGCTTTTCATTCTCCTGCAATAATATTCTGACCCTTATTAAGCCTCGATACCTGAAATTCATGAAAGGAATTTTCATCTTTTACAATTACAAGGTAATAGAACGAATTGTAGGATTTGAAGAAAACGAAGACAGCTCAAGAAGGAAGGCTGGAAGAAGCATTACATTTCCGTATTCATCGTCCGGTACAGATAACCTCAAAATCGCGTACCTCTCTACTAAATCGGTCATCTTGGACTTTCGTGAGGTCTCTGGCGTTCGGGACGTCGATGAAAGTGTATCTGCACTTCTGCACTTTTCAAGAAAAGTGTAGTACCCTTGTTACCCTCGAGTGTAAAAAGTGCAGTCAACGCGAACAAACCTCATGGGTCGGCATGTTCTTTATCTCCTTTCGTGTCCACGGTTTTCTTAAGTTGCTTGAAAGTTAAGAGTCGAAAAGTGTTGACGCAGTGAGAAGTCCGAACGCGATTTAAGGCGAAGGATTTAAGTCAATCGCCCGGGTAACTCACATACGGTTCGCGTATGCGTACTTCAGGTACGCATTCTTCTGTCGAGGCGCGCCGCACAAGATCACAGAGTTAGAAGTATGACAAAACGCATTGCGAACGGCTCGAAGGTAAAGTATCAATTCCACCGATACAAGGACACAAGGTGCGTCTCTTCCCAAGAAAATACCCCGGATTTCCCGTGGATCAGTTTTTATAAACTGTAAGTTGGAATAGCGGAGTCTGCCTTGTTCCATTAATCCGTCAAAGGCTGGTCAACATCTAGACCGCGGCTCGATAAGACGAATTTTACATTAAATTTCATAAAATATTGCCTCTACGGTTACCAAAACCTCTGAAGACCCTCCCTTAAAGTACAGGCTTATCAAGGGTTAAAAAAAATAGATTTCTGAACAACTCCTTTTTGCAAAACCGCGCACTCCGCTTTCCGCGGGACTTCCGTTCAACGTACGGAAAATGACTGCCGGAACCAAAAAGAAAAAACGCACCTTGCCTCCTGGCCTTTAATTACGCACCCATGGATGAAGCACCGCGGTCCATCTCTAAAACCAACATCCAAAGTCACGCACCCGACGATCGAGAATAATCGAAATTATTCAAACCAAATTTTGCCTCTCCACCGATGACATCGATCACGTTATTCTCCCATCAAACTTGAAAAATATACAGGTTACCTATATACAATCCAAACTATACATTCAATTTCTATACACCGACGCGACGTGTACAAAAAAGCATCGAGCCCGAAAACCCGTAGCAGTGTGCTGCACGCGAGGAATCTTAGAAAAATACTTTGAAATAAATGAATTCGTAACCAATCCAATTTGGCAGCATATCAAGTTTGTGCGACTCCCGCGGAAAATGGCTCGATATCGTGAAAAATGCATCCCGGGTCGTTCGAAACGAGCGTTCCTCCCGGTCACGTGACTCGGAGATTGGTCCCGTGGAGATGACTCGGGGCCCAGCGGAGAAGGGCGCTTCACCCAGTCGTGCCTGATCCCGGGGCTTAGGGGACGACGCCCGACGAGCCGTGGCAACGTGGGGCGGCCGGGTACGCGCGCGACAGCCCGGGCAGGGCCTAGGGGCTGTCGTCGGGGATGGCGTACCAGGCCGCGGGGTCCGCGGCGAGGGCCCAAGGGCCTGCGACGGAGGGGTTGGCATAGGCCGCGGCCCCCGCCGCGGAGGGCGCGCACTACCAGGCCCGACCCTGGAGCGGCAGGTACGCGCTGCACTGGGGCTGCTGCTGCTGCTGCATGCCCTGCTGGCCACCGGTCCTTGCGTACGAACAGTGCTGCAGACTCTGGCTGGAGGTCATCACGTGGCTGACCCCGACCACGGAGTGGTGGGAGACCGCGGCCGCGTGGTGGGACCCGTGGGGGCTGGATGCGGCCGTCATGTGGGGCGCGGGGCTAGCCAGGGCCGCGCTCGGGCCCCCGCGGCTGCCTTCGTTACCCCCGCCGCCTCCGCTTCCGCAGGGCTTGCCGTCCTTCACCAGCACCGGCACCGCCACGCGACGGGGCGAGCTCGCACTCTGCAAGCACAACCGATCGAATCTGGTTAGTCGGAAACAGTGGCTGGGTGGAACGAGGAAATGCGACGAGAATTAGACTTCCGGACAACGCGGTTAAGGTGAAGTGAAACACGTCGAGGAACTTGATCGACGTCGATAAAGAAGATTTTTCTAAATGCCTAAGTTGCCGACGTTCGTTTTTATATTGACAGACGTGTCGAATTATATTGGATATCGTACCAAATGGCTTACTCCACCTGTCGTTTTCGTACAATAAATATCAAGAAATCGAAGTAAAACCCCAGATATCCCCCATGATTCATGCTTTCTGGGGCCTTAATTGACTGCAGAGGGACTCCCTCCGCTATCTGTGATTTCCAGGTCAATTAAATTTTCACTCCGAGACCTCGTATTCCCATCGTTTTAGCATAGAAGCGCATACAACACTTTTTTTGCCTTTATCCTGTTCAAATGCGAGTTTATCGATTACCAGAGTGTTACCAAAGACTATATCACAATTCATGTTAATATTTTATACATAAAACTCTGTTCCTAGGGTCAGGGGCCAGCGAGAGAATCTTGAGGATGAAATGAGGCTAAAGTGGGTATTTATAAAAAATAGAGGCTTCCGAGGGTTAACCGAGTCTCGATCCAATGCTCGTTTGAACCTCAACCCAACAAAGACGAACATATATGAATATTTGAGGTTGAAATGAAGTCGATCTCATTAAGATCCTCCTATCTTAAATTCTCGTATTATACTCCAAAGCCTCGCGTGCATTCGTGAAGTTCAGGTATGATACAACAATTTTCGATTCGAAGAAGTAGGAACGTTCAGCTAATCGTTCTCGTAAGCGAATGACACATTCTGGCATGTGTGTAAAACGGTTCGTCAAAATGACATATTAAAATGATTTTCCTGCATATGCATCTAAAAGAAATAAGAAAGAAAAAGACACCCCCGTTCTCGTCAAGGAACATTCGGCCGAAGTTCTCTGAGGTTCTCGGACACGCCAAACAGAAGCCAGGCGAGCAAACTATACCTGCCGAGTTGGACCACTCAGCTGTATCAACATCCAATATATGACATTTCTCTCGGAACTTTTCACCACGACGGCTTAATAATAATTCTCAAAAGCGAAGCGTGGACCGCAGGATTACTCGTGGAATCGTTTGTGGCCGACTTGAGCCGACGAAACGCAGGTCATACTTATAAAATCTCGGTCATGCGAGATTCCTCGTGCATCAAACATAAGATTTCCCTGAATCAACCAATCCGCTGTAAATTGACCGACTCGGTAAAATTTCACGAAACTTAATTGAACTCCGAAGGAACATTACTTAAGGGGGTTTAAAATTGTCTTATCAAGTGATGATGAAAATTTCAACTTTCCCTTAATTACCTTCTCAGGAGAAAAATAATTTCATTAAACTGTCCAATGAAGTTTTTTCCACTGAATAGACATCAACCTTCCCTCGAATTGAAACAAATGAAATAACGATTCCACGGTAAACCACTGGGTATAAATCGATAAGTGCAACCAGAAGCGGAAACTACGCGTTCCTCTGGTAGATCCACATTAATTCCACCACAACGTTCAGTGAAATCCTCTCTTGCATCCCAACCCATTCTACATGACGAGGCGGGAGCAAAAACGCCCATGCCAACAATTTTTATTATAATAAACTAATCGCATCATTAAAAAAATTGAATTTATTTTCAATTTCTCGTTTTGCAAAGGGCGATAGTCAATTTCTAATTATGACAATTCCATTAAACTATCTACAGGAAATCGCTAGACAGTTCTTATCTTTCAAAAGTCTATATGCATGCCTGAATGTACATTAACACTAACCGTACTGGCACTTCGCATGTACCTAACCATACCGTAATCGGTCAAATGATCGGTTACAAAAAAGACGTTGCTTTTATGAAAGAGATTGTCAATTTCTTCTAAGAAATGGTGCACAAATACCCTTGACATTATAATAAAATAATCAATCATATCTTTTCTAGATTTTTATACAAAACCAATGTACCGAACATTATTAGATTCGATCACTCCTTGTCCTACTTGGTTGCTCTGTGACTATTCGATCTGCACTTTGTGACTCTCAAAATGACGCTGCATTTAGATTTCATTTAAACACTGCATTCAGATGTATACAACTATACACTTTATATCTTACTTGAGTTCAGAGCTAAGGTTCCAGGCGGAGAAAACTTTAGACAAAGATGTAAATTCGTCGAGCCGGTCAAACGACCGGACGCGGTAAGCAAGCCAAGTAATGAATTTTCCTCAGTAAAAAAATAATCAAAAAATAAATAAATAAAAACCGACAAATTGATTAATCAGATAATATAAGAACTTACGTAAAGTTAGATGAACCAAAAAAATAATAATAACGAACGTGGAATTTTAAATGAAAACTTTAGAAAAAGATGTAAATTCGTCGAGCCGGTCAAACGACCGGACGCGGTAAGCAAGCCAAGTAATGAATTTTCCTCAGTAAAAAAATAATCAAAAAATAAATAAATAAAAACCGACAAATTGATTAATCAGATAATATAAGAACTTACGTAAAGTTAGATGAACCAAAAAAATAATAATAACGAACGTGGAATTTTAAATGAAACTTTGAAAACCGGTCATTTGACCGGCCCCGGTACGGTTAGTGTGTTAATGGTCCTCCAATGAAAGCAGCGTATTACGGGGCAAAAACCGACGGAAATTCAGTCAAAGTTAACTACACCGGCACGGACGACCTCTCCCCCGGTACGTCGCCGAGAGCTCGGACACTTTGCGTTGGGCTCGAAAGCTGAAGAGGCGACGGTGGAGGGATGATCAAGTAGAGTGCCGGAACGGACTTAGGAGGTAAGTGCAGGCATGCCGTGCACTTCACGGTGACGAAGTGTGATTGCGCTAAACGCATGACGGTCCGCGCGCGTCACGCGTCACGCGTCACGCCACTTTAGCCACTTCAACACGCGTTAAACGATTTCCGGCGAAAATGATCGTGCTCGGTATCTCGCGTAGGTGTGCGTCTGTCCAGGACGGAATCCACGAGAGCTCGTGGTGCGAACGGGAGCCACGAGAATCGATCGCCGAGCACGGTTTCATCGCCAGATCCGCTTTTCCTGGATGGAAAACGGACGTCACCGTTGTAATCGGGTTGTACTCAGCGAAAATAGATAGCCATAGCCAATACAAGACTTTTCACTAACTCTAATTGCAAGTAAAATTGAAAATTAAGTGTTTCACAGAGGTTGGCTTAACAGGGTGTCTTGTACTGGAAAAAGTTGAGGTAAACATCACGACTGAATGAACGAAAATTTATAATCTTCGGTAATCTTTAAACTATTTAAATCGAGTTGATACGTACGACGTCTTAATTAAAAAATGGTTTAGCTTTCAATGATGAACATCACGGGCTAGTTTCACATGTAAGTATTGTCTGATTGGCGGCAATATTAATTACCTTTGCGCGTTTTATATGAATCGACAGTTCTTTTAAATAAAATAAGGTTTACTTGAATTGACCAATTGTCAGTTTAAATGGTTCGGCAGCGACATGACTTTACTGCATGTATTTCACAATATACCTGAACGTAGACTCGATACTATATTAAGAAATGCACCGTGACATTCCCAAAATCTCAAATTGTATATTGTTTTAAATGTGGACGAAGAAATACTCATAATTCGCAGTCGGTTTACTTCCCTCTTCACCGGGTAAAAGTAACAATCTCTTTCTCTTATCCTCTTAGCCAGATTTTTCACTGACCCATTTACACTGAAACATTCCGCTTGCGGTTTTAGTCGGGTTTTGGCTGGAGAATTTTTTTTGTCAATGTATGCAAAACTACATACGGTGATTCCATTGTGAGGAATTTTGTAAGCTTTCTCGGCGCATTCGATTTCGAGGAAATATCCGCCCCGCGGTAATTACTTGGAGATCCGCGGTGGTTAAAGCTACGTCGAGTGCTCGAGGAAAACAGTTATCATGAAAATTGATGTAATTAACTAAAAGCGTCCTTCCGAGGAGAGGAAAGCTCGAACAAAGAAAGCGGTAATATTAAAAGAATCTTCGCGGAAGCCCCTCTTTCTCTCTCGTTTCTTTCTCCCTCTCCTCTCGGAAGATTTCAATGAGCGCCGTCCGAGCAAGAGAGGTTTTAAAATCTAATAACCAGCACATTTCGCGATGGATACGCGTTAAATGATCATCTAATCTCATCCAAAGATTCGGAGTGAAATAATAACCTACAAAATACTGATTTCCAATTTATATACCAATTTATGTCCAAAAGATAAAACAAGGATAAGAAGTTAGTTTAACTAAAAATTATCATAAAATCCACAAAATCCGTATTAAACAATTTTCATTGAATTATTAATCAGTCCAGAACCAATAAACTTTACTTCAAATGTAGCTATCAATTAATACGGCCTCGCAAAAGTCTGTTTGGTGGAAATAATTGAGTAAAAAAATCAACACAATACATTTGGATAGTCGTATTCTTATATTCAATTCCTTTCGGTTCTCCAAATTGCAAATTTCACGTAGTCTTTATCACCCAAAAGTCCTAGCAAATAAAAATATAAAATTGCAATAACTTGTGAAATTTTATCGAGTCGATTGGCTGACTAGTAATATTTAATCTCTGTGCTACACGTCATCTAATCCGAAATAAAATTCAGTCGAATCTCTACTGGAGCCAGCGAATCGACAAAACATTTTCCGAACACCATTTCGCCGATGAAAACAGCTAACGGTAAATCCGACCGAAACGATAAAAAAGAGATTGCCTGAAAAATAATCAGACCTTCCTTCTCGCTGTTTCCTCGATTTTACCAGATTCGCCGCCTTGCCGGGTTGCCTACTTGTCGAAAAAAAGGAATTGCATACAGCTTTGCGAACAAAATAGCTCAGACCTAATTTATACGATTAACGTGGGATCTACATTGAATTAAACCGACCCGAATCAACTGAATTTCTTCAGAATAAAATTAAATCAAATC